TTACTGAGGCAATGCAGCTCCCTCTAGCAAACCTAGAGCCGTGTGCATAGTGCCCGTCCACCTTCTGACGGTGTCTGCCTCCGCGCACAAAAAATGAGATGGGCATCGCTGCCTACGCCGACGGCCAGAGGCCCGCGCATCTACATTTTTTCGCCTGACCCCATCAGTGCCGACCCAACTACACCACCACGCGCATGCCTCGCGGCGGATATGCGCAGCAGCAAGAAGGTTTCGGTCATCCCTTGAGGGTGAGTCTAGCCCTGCTCGCCAGAAAGACCCCCCCCTTCACTACAACCCATGTCTAAGCAAAAGCTTGTCGAGGAGCGAGGGGAAGAAGGGAGAAGTTACCCCCCCCTTTTTCGAGACTTCTTCTTGTTTGCTAGGCAAGGGAAGTCTTCTTGGGGTAACCCGAACCCGACCGGCTGGCGGCGAGTAGAACCACCTTTTTTCCAACAATCTTATGTGCGTGTGTGCGGGTACACCACTTCCGCCACGCATTGCCAGAAGTTTCGAGTTCGATAGACAGCAGTGCATCGTTTCTTGGCCCACCCACCGTTTTTCTTTTTCCGTACTCCGGAAGAAAACTAGGTGAGCAGCGGGTTTTGAATCCGTGTCTATTGCAACCAAAATCAGACACCTGACATCTCTTGTCGACGCCGTTGTGGAAAAAAGGATTTCGTCCTCAACAAACGCCGGGGAGTTTCAACCTTTATGAAGGTGTTCTCCTCTTAGCCGTTGATAGAGTAGATCGAAATACTACATGGACGAAAAAATACATGCGTGTTTGGGTTTCAAAAAACACGAAGGCTTTTCCTCTTGGTTCCGTGCGATGTCCTCTCACTCAAGTTCTAAGCCTAAGTAAGGTTGGCGAAAAGACAGGTCATATTTCCAATCGCAATCAATCAATCAGCCGATCTGGGGGGCTTTTCAAGTCGTTTCTAAGGACCGTTTTAAACGGACCGACTTCTTTGTCAAAATTTTCGACATTTGTCTTTCAAAAACTTGGAACCTGTGTGCAGTCATTTTAAACGTGTGACGTAGACTTGTGCAACTTGTGTCAAAAAAAATGACGCCGTCCGTGAGTTGTAGCGCTCACTTCGAGACAACACAGACGACACAACACAAACCGCCGCGGAAAACACGACATCATGGACACCGACATGGATATCACGACCACCCAGCGTGGCCGGCAGACCAAAACCCCGGCGAAATTCCAGCAGACGGGCTCTCTCGGTGCCGCCGTAGGCGGTGGAGGCTTGCTCTCCAGCAAGATAGTGCTGCTGCCTGGCATCTCGGGGAACACTCATGTTACCACGGGAGGCGCTGCCGCCACCAACACTCCGCCGGCGAGGGGTGGCAACCACTGCTCCTACCCCCCCGGGAAAAGGAAAAAACAAAGCGGCGGACGCGAAGCAACAACTGCAAGCCATCATGGCGGACCGCCGTTTTTTTTTTTTGTATTGCGCGTGCCCGTGGGCGAGGAGAGCCGCTCGAATCTGTAGGCGCGCCGCGCTTTCTA